CCCCCGGAAACCACACTCAGACATACACTTACACACAACCTTTATCTTCCATTTTTGTGATTGTAGCTTCTATAAAGATCTTCGCTTCTTTCGGGATTTTTTTTTCGGTCTTGTTCAGGAATGTGGCAAACCGTTTATTATGAGATCTGTATCTTTCATTGCCTTTTATTCTATTTTTAAGGTGGCGGGGAAAGAAAATGTCAAACGGTATTTGTTGATTTAAAAATAAGGATTGCAAAAATATAACCGTATAGTGCAGAAATTCAAACTCATAAAAAAAAATTAATTAATTTTTCTTCTTCTCCTTTCTTTCTCTTCCTCCAGGAGGAATGCCGGCCTTGCTCCAGCTGCCCCATGAACCAGATCATCACCTCGCCCTGCCACGGCATGCACGACACCCGCTGTGGCCCCTTCTACGACCTGCAGCACCTCGTGGTCTCCGCCGCCAAAGACGGAGACAACAAATTCGTCTCGCAGCGCGTCGCTCACGGTCGCCTTGGCGACGGCGTCGGTGGTGACGATGGTGACGATGGCAACGGCAGTCGACGTCATCATCAGAAGTCCAAAAACCACACGGGCGCAGAGCGAGGAAACGAAGCGGGGTCAGGCGAGGTCAAGATCAAGAAGACCGCCGGCGGCGGCGTCGTCGTCTCCTCTTCAGCGGAGGGTTTCGCCGAGAGTTCGAAAACGTCGTCCCGGCGAATGAAAGGCCAGAATAATGACGTCATCGATAACGGTGGTGGTGATTCCGACGTTCTCATTTCCGACTGGAAGTCGCTGACGCTGTTCACGTGCGTGGCTATCGTCTTCGTCGTTATCGTTCTCGTCGTCGGCATCTGCTGCATCAGAAGGAAAATGCTCAATATGAAAAAGACATACGAGTACAAGGCCGCCCCAGTCGAAGTATAGCCACAGGTGATGCGGACTAGATATTTCATTTTCATCACACACAGGTCTTTGCGAAAACATTCGAGAAGTCATCTTCTAATCGTTCATTCCCTCCAACGGCTTTTTTTTTGTACATGTGTAATATATATATTATTGTTAAAACGTTGAACTTCTCAGCGACAAGGTGGTTTTGCTGATTCTCATTTCACCTCTTGGACATGTCAAGACTTTTGATGGTGCAGGAACCTACCTGAAGACTGGATGGGACATACAATGTTGACTGGTCAGAAAAGTTAATGTTGTGAGACATAACATGATGGTTTTGTTTTGTCGCTGCGGATCAGGCTGATCTCTGAGGTTGTTTTTTTTATATTTATGGCCGACCAAGAAATGCTGATGTCCTTTTGTTTGTTTGTAATGTTTTGTGTGACTAATTTGGATTATTATTTTTTTTGGTTCACATTGTGATATAGACTTGGAAGACTTTCCAGTTGTTTTTTGTGTGTTGTTGTTGTTGTGTGTGTGCGTGTGTGTGTGCGTGTGTGTGTGTGTGTGTGTGTGTGTGTGTGTGTGTGTGTGTGTG